ACCACTGAGCCACGCCCCCAGCCCCTCACTGGGGGATTCTAGGCGGGACTCTACCACTGAGCCACGCCCCCAGCCCCCTCACTGGGGGATTCTAGGCGGGGCTCTACCACTGAGCCACGCCCCCAGCCCCCTCACTGGGGGATTCTAGGCAGGGGCTCTACCACTGAGCTCTATTGTAGCCTCGCTTCTGCTCTTTATTAAGACAGAGTCTCACTGAGTTGTTCAGGTGGGTGACTCTCCTGCCCTTCTCCCTCTTGTTGTATCTTGTTAAATGAAACCATCTAACAGGTTACAGCAAATACAAGCCCCTCACCAAGTGCTAGCCAGCTCTTAACCTCTAGAACCTTCTACACAAATGTCATTTTAAAAATATAAGGTGTATGTTTGAGACAGAATCTCATGTATCCCAGGCTGGCCTCAAACACACAATACAGCCTAGACTTCGATTCCTGCTTTGGCTTCCTAAGTGCTGAGATTACAGGCCTGTGTTACCATTCCCACTGTTCTTTTTTGTTTGTTTGTTTGGCTTTTTTTTCTTCGAGACAGGGTTTCTCTGAGTAGCCCTGGCTGTCCTGGAACTCACTCTGTAGACCAGGCTGGCCTCGAACTCAGAAATCCGCCTGCCTCTGCCTCCCAAGTGCTGGGATTAAAGGCGTGCACCACCACCACCCGGCCCCACTGTTCTGATTACTGTTTTGTTTTTCTTTTTGTTTTCTTTCTTTCACCTTGATTCAAGCTAAATTTTTCAGGAAAGCTGGAACCTCAATTTAGAAAATGCCTCTATATGATTAGCCCATAGGCAAGTCTGTGGGGTCATTTTTTGTTGTTATTGTTTTCCTATCTTTCTTTCTTTTTCTTGAGACAGGGTTTCTCAGTATAGCACTGGCTGTCCTGAAACTCACTCTGTAGACCAGGCGGGCCTCGAACTCAGATCCCCCTGACTCTGCCTCCTGAGTGCTGGGATTAAAGGGCTGTGCCACCACCGCCCGGCATCCTTTTCTTGACTAATGACTGAAATGGGAGAGCCCAGCTCACTAGGAACAGTGATACCTCTGAGCGGGTGGTCCTGAGTTACCTAAGAAAACAGGTGAGCATGGAGAACAATCCAGTAAACATTGTCCCTCCGCGGTCTCTGCCTCAGGTCCTGCCTCCAGGTTCCTGCCCTGACTTCCGTTTGTCGTGAACTGGAAATGAAAGATAACATTAACCTTCTCTTCCCTAAGTTGTCTCTGGTGATTGGGTTTCATGACAGCAAAAGAAATCCTAACTACAAGACCTGACTTTACACCTAGTCTAAGATAGCAAGAGAAAAGGGTCTAACACAGGGGTGATTAACAACACTGAGAGATGCCCCGTTGGGCCCTGAGGGGTGAGGCAGGTCTGACTGCTGAGAACAGGGTCCCTCTCCTCGGGCCCCACTCACACTTGACTTGAGCGTGTTCTGTCAGACTCCTGTGGGACTCGACAGCGTCCAGAATCTCCGCGTGGCTCTCTGAGTCTTGAACTGACACATCCTCGATGACCAGGCTATCTTCAGTGTGTGGCACCTCTTGGCTAGTGTGAGGAAGTCCCGGGAGGCCCTCGGGAGAGGACATGGCTGGCGGCTGGGCTTCATGCTCTCGGAACCTAGAAGTGCTGAGAATTCCTTCAAGGGCTCCGGGGACAGGCAGGTGGTTGCCAACTCCTTCCATCTGGGGCAGCTTGGAGGTGGGCGAGCAGGTGCAGGAGGCAAGTAGGGCACCTTGGAGGAAGCAGGAAGGAAGGAGGGACAAGTGAGACCACAGAAGACATACTACCCGCAAGTGGCCTGCCCACAAGCGAACCAACATTACAGATGCTGGGGAAAGTCGGCATCAATGAGTTGTTTGAAGACTTGGTCCCCGTGAGAAGGCGCTGTTTGGGAGAAGTTGCAGAACCGCTAAGAGAGTGGTTCTCAACCTGTGGGTCGTGACCCCCCATAGGGCCCACAGATATCCTACATATCAGATATTTACATTAAATTTATAACAGTAGCTGTTAGTATTTTGTCTAAGCTCTGCCCACAGTTACCTGGCAATGGCCAGGAATGACAGACTCACTATAAAGCGGGCTGCTCCCCCCTTCTCTCTCTCTCTCTCTTGCCTTCCTGCTCTTGCTCTGTCCTCTCGTCCCTTCCCCCTCTCTCGCCATCCCCTTCCCCCCTCTCTCTCCACATGCTCATGGTGGTGCTCATGGCCAGCCTCTACTCTCTACTTCTCCTGCCCCCCCATCTTTCTCTGCCTCTACTCCCCTCAACTCCCTTCCTCACGCCCTAAATAAACTCTATTCTATATTATATTGCCATGTGACTGGTCCCTCAGGGGGAAGGGATGCCTCAGCATGGGCCCACAGAGGCACCCCCTTCCCCCCACACCTGACTACATCTCCACCAAACATATTCTTTCTCTATCTTTTTATAAAACACAACAGTAGCAAAATTACAGTTACAAAATAGCAACAACAATAATTTTATGGTTGGGGGGTCACCAGGAACTGTACGTATTAAAGGGTCGCAGTATTAAGGGTAAGAACCATTAGGAAAGTTGAGAAAGACTTAGGATATAGTCTTCCAGGAGGAAGTGCATCACTGGAGGCGGGCCTTAAGTGTCTATAACTCCGCCTTACTTCCTCTACTCCGCCCCTTCTTGTGTGTGACAGAAAATGTGACCAATCAGCTTCCTGATCCTATGGCCATGATTTCCCTGACTGGTTGCCAGCCTTCCTACTCCGATGGACTGTATCCCTCATGAACCGTTTTTGCTCCTAACTTGCTTGTTGGGATATTTTAACCACTGCAACAGCAAAGTATTAATACGAGTGCTAGAGAGGCTGGGTGCGGTGCTTAGAGCTGGGATCCCATCCCTTGGTGGGTAGAGGCAGTAGGATCAGGGAGTTCAAAGGCAACCACATATCAGACTGAGGGCAAGCCTGGGCTACATGAGGCTCTGTCTCAAACAAAACAATAATGGATTGATTCTTGTTGTTGTTGTTGTTGTTTTACAGATTGGGCTTCACTGTGTAGTCCAGGCTATCCAGGCTGATCTGGAAATCACTCCTGGCAATCCTCCTGATAGACGTGTGTGTGTGTGTGTGTGTGTGTGTGTACATATGTGTGTGCTGGTGCTCACCAAGGCCAGAAGAGAGTTATCAGATACCCTAGATCTGGATTTACAGGTGTCAGGCAGCTCAAATCTCCAGAAACGATCTCAACCTAGAATGTAGAAGATTTTAGATGAAAGCCGGAATTCCTCGGGAACTTGTGAAACCAGTTTCCACCTGCCTAAAGGAGTCATTTCCTTTACCTCAGGCAGAAGGAATGTATGGGAACCAGGGATGTCTATCAGCATATCAGAGAGCACACCGGGCCTCCAGGCTCCCTCAGTACCACAGGTATCTTATTACACATTTCAAAGCCGCTGGCCAGGCTCCGACACTTCCCTCCCCTAGGGACTCACAACCCGCTACTTCCTACTCTTCCACACTTACTCTCTATTGCCCGCTGTTCCCTCTTTCTCCCTCCCCCTGTGCTCTTGCTCTCGCCCGTGCTTACTCTCCGCCCCCCCCCCGCCCTCCCTCCGTACTCTCTATCGTCTGCTAGCTTACACCTCCACTGCTCGCTCTCCCACTCCCTCCTGCGTCCCTGGCCATGCTCAGTTCACTTCTTTTGCTCTCTGCTCTCTCTCATATCACCATAAAAACTTCCACCTATCACGGGACCAACCGTTTCATCAGGTGTTTCTTTTCCGTACCCCTCACACAGCAAGCAGTTCTGGGTCACCGCTGTAACCTCGCCCCGCCCCGCCAGCCTGCCTTTCAGAGACTCTGTGGCAGCAGCTTACGTCATCACCCACTGCAGCCACTATGAGTAGAGACAAGCACCCCCTTTAAAAGGCTCTGTCCACCTCAGATCGTTCTGTCTGTCTGTCTGTCTGTCTGCATCTCTCTTTCATGTCCACTCTCTGAAATGGCCTTTCAGTGCATTCTCTCTCCCTCCCAATGAAACTCTTGCGCTGTATCTGTAGTGTGTGGCAATCTCTTAGCTGCACACCTTGTCCACGACCTGCAAAGATACCACTTGTGATGGTTCGTATATGCTCAGCCCAGGGAGTGACACTATTAGAAGGTGTGGCCTTGTTAGAGTAGGTGTGTCACTGTGGGCGTGGCCTTGTTGGAGTAGGTGTGTCACTGCGGGCGTGGCCTTGTTGGAGTAGGTGTGTCACTGTGGGCGTGGGCTTTAAGACCCTCGTCCAAGCTGCCTGGAAGTCAGTATTCTGCCAGCAGCCTTCAGATGAAGATGTAGGACTCTCAGCTCCTTCTCCTGCACGGTGCCTGCCTGGATGCTGCCATGCTCCCGCCTTGATGATAATGGACTGAACCTCTGAACCTGTAAGCCAGCCCCAATTAAATGTTGTCCTTATAAGTGTTGCCTTAGTCATGGTGTCTGTTCACAGCAGTCAAACCCTAACTAAGACACACCGCTGCTTTATCCTATTAGTCACACTGAGAACTGAACTCAGGTCCTCAGGAAGAGCAGCCACGCTGTGAACCATCAGATAACCTGGAACCCACAGAAAAGTGGAAGAAGAGAACTCAGTCTGCCATTTGCACACCGCAGCTCACAACTCACACGCATGCTAATGATACAAGTTGTGAGCCTCGGTGTGGGTGCTGGGAACGGAACCTAGGTCCTTTGCAAGGGCAGCTAGTGATCTTAACTTCTGAGCGATCTCTTCAGTCCCAACCCCTGACCTTTCTAAAGGCCAGGAACAAAATGGATGTCAAGAAAGCATATTCCCTACCAAGACGGAACACAGAAGAGGTACTTCCCCATCCCCACCCCACCCTGATGATTCCTCCAGTTTCTTGGGGCTCAGAGAAGGAGTCCTAGAGCTGTTAGGAGGTGGCTGAGGTAGCTCTATCTGAGGCTTCTTTGGTCAAGACTTGAAATGGGGCTGGGGTGTGGGCCTGGTGACAGACCTTTGGAAGTAGACTTGTATGAGGGCCACCGGATTGCGGTGGTGGGGAACAGGTATGCCTACGCAGGAGGGGCCTTGGGAAATGACTTATACTGCCACCATTTGGAAGGACATGGATAGCCAAGGACTGTGGAGGGAGGCGGAGGCTCTCTTGGGTCAGGCCCAGTGGGAGAAAAGGCCCCTTCTGATCTTGGCGGAGAGACTTAGGGATGGTGGGAGATGAGCTGAACATCCAGGTTCTAAGTAGGCCCGGGCCAGAAAGGTCCAGGAGCACATACAGCACATACGCTCTCTCCCCCATAACTACAGCTGTCAAGTGTAGCACTTGGGCCCGTTTTCCCCTCCTCCCCTTTCTCTGTTCACACCCAGGCAGCTTTAAAGGGGGCAAAGCACACCTGGAGAGAACAGGAGAGATGTCAGCAGGTCTCCATCCCCCCTGCAGTGAAAGCCCTGATATGGGGGCCAGGAAAGCTTTAAGCCCGATGGAGTTTGAGGCTTTATTTATGTTTTGCTGGTTTGGGGGACAGAGTCTAACAATGAGCCCTGGCTGACCTAGAACTTGCCATCTAGATCAGGCTGGCCTCCAGATTTCTGTGGGCCCCTGCCACATGCTGGGATTACAGGTGGACACCACCACGCCCACCTCGGGTGGCTTTAGAGTGGACAGAACTGGACTTTTTTGTTGTTTCTTTTTGAGATCAGGTCTCATGATGGGCCCCAGACTGGATCCAAACTCATCATCCTCCTGCCTCAACCTTCCAAGGGCTGGCATTACAGGCCCAGATCACAACCCCTGGCTCTGAACTTTGGACCAGGAGGGCAGCTCGTTATGAGAGGGCCTCTCTGTGGTCTCTGAAACGCACACTACTGTACTTCAAAGCTTCATTCTCTCCTCCAAGCTGTGTGACCTGGGGAAGCTACGTAACTTATCTGAGCTGCAGTACCCCCCACCATGAAATGTGGACCAGCAGGTGTGGAAGGTAAACGGCCCTGGCTGAAAGCATGTAGGTCTGACTGGTAGGTAGATATGTTTAGTCCCAGCAACCATGCACTGTGATGGCTGAAATTCTCCTATTGTGATTTTTTTTATTAGTGTGTGTGTTCGTCCATGTGTCCACCTCTCTCTGTCTCTCTGTCTCTGTCTCTCTCTCTCTTTCACACACACACAAACACACACATGTCAGAAAACAATTGTGTAACTCTGTTCTCTCCTTCATCTTTACATGGGTTTGGGGATCAAACTCAGGTGTTAGGCTTTCATGGCCATTGAGCTATCTCACTGCCTACCCCTAAATCCCCAAGTTTTTCTTTTTGAGATAAGCTCTCACGAAGCCCAGGCTAGCCTCAAGCTCACAATGTAACCAGAGATGATTTGAACTCCTGATCCTCCTGCCTTCTGGCTAATGCTGGGATTACTGTATATACCACCACATCTGGTTTGTCTGGTGTTGGTCATGGAACCCATCTGAGGGTTCACCTGAGGACCGCAGGTAAAGAGTCAGGCTGTGTAGGCACACACCTGTGACCCCAGCGGTGGGAGGAGGGGAGGAGCTGAAGCAGGAGGATCTCAAGAAATTCTGAGCTATGCATCCGAGTGGGTCTACCTAGCAAGACTATTTTTAAAAGATTCTGCTCCACAACAAAAAGATTGCTGGCGAATTTGGGGAGTCTTGGTTTCATAACCAGGAGTTCTGTGATGAGCTATGTGGGCTCTCTGAGGGTGTCCCTTCTTGGTCCCCAGCCTGAGGTGAAGTTGTGTTCTCTCACGTACCTGTTAGTAGAAGCGTCTCCCAGGCAGGAATAAGGCCACGGGCTGAGTCCGGAAGACAGTCCATGTGGTCCTCTGTCCTTGTACCTCTCAGGGAATTTTGGGTAGAAGAACCTTGAGGAACCGCAGGATCTTTTATGGGGTCCTAGCCACATTCCTCCTCCACAGGCCAGGTCTCTGCCTTTGCCCCACCATCTGCTCGAGCCCCCCCCTCCCCCCGCAGCCTCTTCCTCCAGCACCCCTATTGGTAGTGATGGGAGGGGAGGGGGCTAACCCACGATTTCAGCATAGACAGTTCTAGTGTCCCCTGCCCTCGATAACCAGTTCAAACTGAAGGCTGAGGAAGAAGGGTGTGGCATTATATGTAGCTCTGTCCCCCAACCACGTCCCTCAGAGGGGACTGAGGCCAAAGGGCAACAAGATAGGAGGCGGCTGGGGCCCAGCTCTTGGCTTCATTGCCAGGTTCTCCGTCTGTCGCTCTGAGCCCAGCTCCTCTCTGGAAAAGGAAGATGCTTATGACAGTGTGTCACAGCCAGAGAGACATGGCCTGAGGGCTGGTACATTCCAGGCACTTGGTTAGGTGATTGGTGAATGGCAGTGGCTGCTAAAATTGAGTTGTTTTGTTTGGGTTTGTTTTTAATGGTTGTGTGTGTGTGTGTGTGTAAGTCAGAGTGTACTTATTGTCAACTTGACACAAACCTAGACATATCTGGAAAGAAAGAATCTCAGTTGGAAGCTGGGCGGTGGTGGCGCACGCCTTTAATCCCAGCACTTGGGAGGCAGAGGCAGGTGGATTTCTGAGTTCGAGGCCAGCCTGGTCTACAGAGTGAGTTCCAGAACAGCCAGGACTACACAGAGAAACCCTATCTCGAAAAACCAAAAAACAAAAAAAACCAAAAACAAAACAAAAACAAAACAAACAAACAAACAAAAAGAATCTCAGTTGCAGACTTGCCTCCATTAGATTGGCCTGTGAGCATATCTCTAGGGCATTTCGCCCTCTTCCCTCCCCTCTTTCTCTCCTCTCCCTCCCTCCCTTCCTTTTTTTCTTCGAGACAGGGTTTCTCTGTGTAGCCCTGGCTATCATGGATCCCTTGCTATAAATCAGGCTGCCCTTGAATTCAGAAATCTGCCTGCCTCTGCCTCCCGAGTGCTGGGACTAAAGGTGTGGGCCATCACCGACCGGCCTGGCAGTTTCTTGATTAACGACTGATATAGGAGGACCCAGCCCACCTGGCAGGTGCTACCCCCAGGCAGGTGGCCCTGGCGAACATAAGAAACCAGGCTGCGCAAGCTGAAAGGAGCCAGCTAGGGCCTCCGTGGCTCCTGCTTCTGCTTCTCCCTCCGGGGTCCTACCTTGAGTTCTTGCCCTGACTTCCCTCAGTGAAGGATGGTGACCTGAGAGTTGTAAGCTGAAATAAACCCTTGCCCACTCAAGTTGCTTTCGGTCACTGTGTCTTGTCACAGCAATAGAAATCCCAACTAAGACATGGGGTATCACCATGTAGCCCTGGCTTGTCTGGCATTTGCTATGTAGAACATGCTGACCTCAAACTCACAAAGACCCACCTGCCTCTGCTTCCCAAGGGCTGGGATTAAAGGTGTGCGTCACCACAAAGGGCCTATGTGATTGCAATTTTTGAACAGGCTCTCTGGTGGCCTGAGCTGGCCTCAAATTCACATATGCAGTCAAGGCTGGCCTTGAATGCCTGACCGTCCTGTCTCCCTGTCTGGAGTGATGGAATCCAGACTGTTTATTAGTAAATAAGAGGATGAAGAAGTGGTTGTGTCAGATAGGAGTGCCAAGATTTTAACTCAAATCCCTGTGACTCACAAGCTCATGCTTTCTCTCCCAGACACAGGTCCCCCTGGGGGTCAAAGGTCACCCATGACTCTAATAATAACCATTATCGGAGACATGGTTATTTATTTGCATTTACTACCCGGCAGGCTCAGTGATTTCTCTGTAGTTGTGCATGCTGCTTAGTTTTGTTGAATCAACTTGACACAAGCTAGGACCGTTGAGGTCTGCCCCCAGCGTAGTTGTAGCCGTTTTGTTCCATGCCCACCAGCTATCTCATACCGTTCCTGTGATACGCCTGCCAGTCATTTTCACAGAAAATAGGTTGACTCAGAGCAGGGTCGTGCTGACCACATACCCTGTTAAGTTCTGTGTTGTAAGGTTTGCTAATCTTAAAAAATTTCACAACTGCCTTTAATCCCAGCACTTGGGAGGCAGAGGCAGGCGGATTTCTGAGTTCGAGGCCAGCCTGGTCTACAGAGTGAGTTCCAGGACGGCCGGGGCTACACAGAGAAACCCTGTCTCGAAAAACCAAAACAAACAAACAAACAAAAATTCCACAACCATAAGCTTCACTTAGGACCCTGTAGGACCATGAAAGGTAGCCTTGATCCTGGTTGAGCTAAGGCTTGAAACCCTGGTGACCCTGAAGGGACAGTAGGCATTTTGCCTGTTCCCAGGCACCAGGTTCCGGGCACGAGGCCTCTGCCCTCCATAGGTTTGTCACCATCAGTCATGTAAAGACAATTCCCCAAGCTCCTCTACATGTAGAGGACATGACCACAGGTCACATAGATTCCAGACAGATCTCTAATGAGGTACCTAGAGGCCTGGAGGGTTTAGTCAATAAGCTTTCTTTCCCAGACATTCCTCCCTGCAAAAGGCATTTAACCTCAGGCCCGCCCTGATACGGTTTTACTCATCTACTTTCTGTTATGACAATAAATGCCTTAAAACCATGGACTGCCTCTTATCATCGGGATCGACCGTGGGGAGTCATGGAGTCTTCGCCTATAGATCTCCGTCTAATCTCCCGTAGAAGGCCTCTCTGGCTCCCAGCCATGGCTGCCACTGAGCCCAAGCCAAGCCCAAGACTGCCACCCACTGAGCCAAGTACTTCCACCATGGGATCCAGCCAGAGTTCCCCTACTTTACCCCTCTGGCCGGGGCTAGATCCAGCCTGCGGGGGGCACTCTGTTCTCAGCTCTTCTGAGGCTCCCAGCAGCACCTGGATGCCCGAGAGCCTGAGAACCAGATGTCCCTGGTCTCCTTGCAAGCCCCAGGGACCCACGTTCCAGCTCCAGTGGTCCTGTACCTCAGACTATGCTTTCCTACTCCTGGAGTGGTGTCCTGTGGCTTCCCTACAGCCTGTCACCTGCCCAGCGACAGTGTGGGGTAAGCACGGTCACTTCCCGAGTCCTACCTCCCCGAGCATCCAGAGCCCTGTGGCGGAGTGGAAACAGGATCTACAAACCCTACAGAACTCATCAAATTAAATACGAACTGTTAGGTCTAAAATGGCTTAAGCCAGGGCCAACCACCTGGCAGCACTTCCAGAACGTGCTAATTGTGGTTTTTTAGCCTTTATAAGCTGGGCCTGAGAAATGTCCAGTGAGCAGCTTTCAGCCCTGGAGCCTGAAGCTGTTGTCTTAATCAGTCTTTATGTGTGCGTTCAATAAATCATCCCTATCAGAGTGAGATGGGTGTTCGTGTGGTTTGTGGGGTGACTCCTGAACCCCAACAGGGTCATCTAGAAAGAGGGAAGTTCAGCTGAGAAAAAACCGCCTCCATCAGAGTGGCCCCTGTGGGGCATTTTTTTTTTTGATTGGGGGATTGAAAGAGTGTAGGCTGTGCCACCTCTGGGCAGGTAGTCCTGGGTTTATTTACATTTTGATTTTTGGTTTTGAGATGGGGTCTCTCTATATCATCCTGGCTGTCCTGGAACTCACTGTGCCGACCAGGCTGGTCTAGAACTCACAGAGATCTGCCTCCCAAGTGCTGGGATTAAAGGTGTGCAATTAACCTTAAAAAAAAAAATTAGACTTTTGTGTGGTGGTGCACACTTTTAATCCCAGCACAGGGGAGGCAGAGGCAAGTGGCTCTCTGCACACTGACCTTTGGAAAGTGTGTAAGACCCAAAGTTAACCTGTAGACCCTACCTGCCCAAGGACCAGGTAACTTCCTGGAACGCTGGGAGTTGTAGTTCATGGAAAATATGGTGGCCATATAGTTTTGTTCTTGAAAGTACCCACAATAGGTATCTCATAACCACCCGCTAGGAAGCCAGGGGTGGTCCTGGCCAAAGCCCACCCTGGTCAGTATTTAATTAAAACTTGCTTCAAATTTGGCTCAAAAGTACGGAACTGGTTTTTCTCTTGTGAATTTCAGAATTCACATGGAACTTATGAAAAGTCATCATGTGGACACATAGAGATCTTTCAGCAACTTTGTTTCCCCACAGATAAGAAAATTTGAATTGTATAAAAAATTTTTGCTTTTAGGCCAGAGAGCAGGCTGCACAAGTAAAATGCTGCCGGGCAAGTCTGACAACCTGTGAAATACGTCCGCGCAGCTTAGAACAGACCACAGCAGACCAAACAGTCCCAAGTGGGGTTTATTCAGGAGATAGGGCAAAGATGGGGGTGAGGGGAGAAGAAGAGGAAGAAGATGGAAGAAGAGAGAGAAGATAGAGAAGAGAGAGAGGTCAGGGGGTTCTGCCTGTTTTATATGAGCAATGACGTAGCCTCTCCCAGGTGAAGGTGGGAGGTAGTTACGTAGATTCTGGGAGTGTATGGAGGTTGCCTTGCCAACGATGTGGGGTTGCCTAGATGTGATGTCACTGGATTTGGAGCCTGATAGCAACATACCTCCCTTTCTTCTTATTATAAAGAGAAGAAAAAGTAATGGGTGAGCAGATGGTCTGGGAGGGGAAAACATTTAGGTGAAAGACCAGGAGTTAGGACTGGACGTCCATACATGAGTTCAAAGAGTGAGATGAGGAGAGGCCGCTTGGGGAGAGCTCGTAGCCTGAAAAGAGCGAGAGGTAAGAGTTTCACCCAGTCAAGATGAAGTTCCTGTGACAGTTTGATAAGAGTGGTTTTTTAAGAGCAGTTAGTTCTTTCCACCTTACCTGAAGATGGAGGGTGGTAGGGAATATGAAAATGCCAGGGGATGTCTAGGGCCTTAGATAGAATTCGAGAAACCTGGGAAGTAAATTCAGGACCATTGTCTGACTGAAGAGAGGCTGGGACACTAAATCGGGGGAT